TTCCAGTCACTCCGCTACTTCTTCCCACAGTGCTGCCTGCGACACACGTCCCTTGCAGACGTGACCACATGTAGAGCAGCCCGGAACCCGCAGGGAGACAGGATGGGCTTGGAGAATTCAGTCACTCTGCTCTAGTGGCCAGGGTGCCCGTGCTGGTGACACGCTCAACAGTCGCGACCACACTCCAGTGCTAATTAAGTCACGGAGAAACATTAAGTGACATAGTTAGAAAAAGTCATAAAATTGCCCAAGGACTGAGGATGGAGCCGTGGGGTCCCATATGTGCCCACAGCTCACTGTTGTCAGCCCCCAGGGGACCCCCAGGACCTCTGTATGCTTTTATTTTCAGCGCACTCGTGACTTAAATTTCTGAATTATAATCCTCAGGAGCAGTGGTGATGCTTCCGCAGGGCACGCGCCAGTTTACAGCAATGCCAGGGCAGAGTCTGTTTTCTTGAATGGTCCCGGGAGTAAAAGGCTCAACATTTGGCATGTCTCCACCTCGCTGGACTCAGCCATTGTTCCCCCCGGCTCCGGGGGTAAGGAAGTCACACCTGCTAAGGGGGGTGTCCCAGTGGTATGTAGCGTGTGCCGTGTATACGAGGTGCCCTCGGTCAGCCGCCACACCAGGGACACTGGACTCTGGGCATTCGGGGGATTTGGACAGTGTCCCTGTGTGCGAGAGTGTCTGTATGTTACAGTGTGTCTGTGAAGGTGTGAGTGTGTGTGAGTGAGAGCTGGGGGGGGTTGTATGTGTGTGTGTGTATGTATTTGTGTGTGCTGGGTGTGTGCGTGCTGGGTGGTATGTGTTGGCATTGCGTGTCTGTAGTGTGAGTGTGATTATGTGAGTGTGACGTGGGGGTGGATATGTAAGTCTCGTGTGTGTGTATTCGTGCGTGAGGTGCGTGTGTGTGTGGTGTGCATGTGTGTGTCTGTGGGAGGCACGTACTCAGACGTAATTAAGGAGTGGCCGTGTGTTGCCATCGTGTTTCACGTCTGTATAAAGTGCAGGGCTGTTCGGCTGAGGGGAAAGATCATTGACTCTGCTCGTCTCAGCCTTTTGGAGCAGAAGCTCCTGTGCCATCGTCTCACACCTGCCCCGCCACCACTACCCGCCCTGTCCCGGGACTGGGTACGCCCTGGGAGTGATCGGGACCACCGGCGGGAACGTGGCTTCCTCTGAGGGGACGCTGGGTGGAGATGCCGGAGTGCTGCCGCCCTCTAGCCAGTCAGGCCTCCCCGGCTGGCCAGCCGGCACTGCCCCACCCTGGCCGCGGCTGGCACTGCCCCCCACCCCACCCTCGGCCACAGCCTGCACTGCCCCGGCCGGCTGCTCTGGCGGGAGACCGGGCTCAGTGACTCCCCGCTTTTCCTCCACTGACTTGCTTTGCTGGACGGGGCTCCGCGGAGCTTGACGGGAAAGGTCCCTGGGGGCTAACCAGAGGTCATGTCCTGAAACAAAAACACCGCGTAGAAAAATGCTTTAAAAGTTGCTTTCCCAGGGCATCCCCGGAGTAGCATCGGCGAGCACGGCCTTCCCGTGGCGGAGCAGCGCTGCAGCACTTAGCCCCTGCGCGACGTGGCCCCCGCCCTCGGCCCGTCCTCTCTGGGCCGCCGTGCCAGCCCCGCGCTGACCTCTGCCGGCCTGTCTCAGATCCTGGCAACTTATTTAAATATTAGTGTTTGTCCCCATTTCCAGGCCTGCGATCTACCTAACACAGCGGGAACAGCAATCCATCCTTCTGAGTAATTGGGGCCTGTGCCTTTCAAGGGGACAAATACCTTAAATATTACGTCTGTCCACCGTGCTCCTCGCGGAGACTCGGTCCAGGCTGGCCACGCAGGCGATACCGATCGATACATTATAAGTCCATTGATGGGTAGTTTTTAATTTTGCATGTGGTTCAGCCGTCACAATCTACTCAGCCTTGAGCATTCCTATAAAACCAAGTTCTTGAACTTGCAAACTAAGAAACTTCTAGACCCAAGATAACCTCGTCAGACTTGACGGCATTCGACCTTATCCGGGGTCTGCTGTCTGTCGTCTCAGAGACGTATCCAACGATGTAAACGACATTACCTCAATTTAAAAAAAAACTACTAGAAGCAAAAAAACAATCAGACACAGGAGAGTGGGTGGAACAGCACAGCAGAGACGGCCCACTCCCGGAGCAGCACCCTGTGTGCGGGGGCCCCCCCGAGCACGAGGACTGTGCCTCCTATAGGTGTGGGTCTCTGCCCGTGGCCTCCCGCCCCGTCCTCGCCCTCTGAACAGGACGGTCCCGTTCTCGTATGTTTCATAGAAGCAGAAACATGAGTGTAACAACGCGAGGCCGTCCTTCCCCTCCCAAAAGGCCTCGTCACCCGAAGGAGCCTCGTCACCCAAAGTTCCGCCAATAAAAGCCAGGTGAAAACCAGCCCGTGGGCGGGGTGGGGCTGCAGGGGCCCCCCTGGGCTGCCTGCCCTGCCACACCCTGGGGTCCTCTGAGGCCCCTGAACACAGAGGGCCCCGCAGTGCAGGGGTGGGCCTGGCCAGTGTGCTTGGGCCTGGAGTCCTATGTTGGGGCGCAGGGGGCCTTTCCCTGACCCGTCTGGGCTCTTTAAGGCTGGGTGGAGGAACAAATCAACATCAGACAGGTCAGCCAGAGAAACAGCCAGAATGTGGTGAAGCACGCGTGGAGCGTTTGCAGGTTTTACATCCTGACGAAGCATGGAGGGAACGGGGCTGTGGATCCTGTTCAGTTTCTCCGGCCTCAGGGAGAGCGTGAAGGCTTCACGGTGACCCCGTCTTTGCTCTCCGTGCAGAGAGGACCCCAGCACGGATGCACCTGCACCCCGCGACACCGCCCTCCCACTGCGTTGGTGAGTGTCCCGAGGGGGCAGCGACTGTCTCCTCCTCTAGGGGGGTGCACAGGCCTCCCGAGGCGAAACTCAGGCCTCCCGGGCCTCACACTGTCTGCGCCAGGCGTCTGCGTCCCGGCCGCGCTGGTTGTGGACTCCCAAGGCCCCGGCCGCAGCTGACCTCTGGCTGCCACGTCCAGGTGAGGAGGGTCCGCCCTGGCGCTAGGAGACACCCTTTCTGGGCCTTTCTGGGGGACGACCCGCACCTGGTCTGCGTGTCCCCGACAAGCCCCGGGGGAGGCTGAGGTGGCTGCGGAAGAATAAACCGCTGTCCGACCTGATGAAAAGTGGCATTCCCCAGCCACGGCCTCCGGGGTGGCGCTCCGGGCAGGTCCCAGCGGGCAGGTGTGGCAGCAGTCTCTGCTCGTGGGTGTGAGGCCCCTGAGAGGCAGCGCTGCCTGGCCTCTCCTTGGGGCAGGGCATGCGTGGGGAGTGTGCTGAGGCTGCCAGCGTTGCCCACCCACGCAGAGAACCGCTTGCGGGTGACTGTAAGCCCCAGGGGGCGGCGGCCCTGCCAGGCCCTCCCTGCCACACAGCCAGGATCACAGGATGAGTCGGTGCGCAGCCCCTCTGACCTGCCGTCTGCCTGGCGGTGGTAGACAGAGAAACTCGAGGCGCAAAAGCCTGCGCGCAGCCCCTCCCTGCAGCTCTGGCTTTGCCCTGACAGAGCAGGCGCCGGCGTGACAGCGGCTCAGACGGCAGCGCCGCCCTCGGAGGCCAGAGGCACGACCACTTCTGCTTGCGACAGCTGGTCAGCACTAGCCGAGCCGCTCTCTCTCTCAGCCTGGGCACCCCTCAGGGCTGGAGGGAACGGGCGCTGCCCACACGGCCTCGCCAGCCCGAGGCGGGCGCCGTTCCTCTCGCTGCACTTAGCCCCTCACTCAGCCTTCAGGCCGCAGGCCCGCGGGGCTGACGCTTGATCCCAGGCCCCGCCGCCGAGACAGGAGATCAGGGGCCTGGTGGGGTGCGGATCCGCCTGACGCCCAAAGGCAGCGTGGCCCTGTCCCACACACCCGCATCGCTGAGGGGAAGCCCAGGGTGCCGGGCCACCACCTCCATTTGCCTGGGGCCCTCCCGGTCGGCGCTGAAAATTTGAGTCCTGCCCCCCGACCCCGAGAACTGGGCCCTGGGCCACCCCATGCAGGCATGTTTATCTCTGGTTTCACTTGAATTTCTGGAGCACCTCCAGGTTCGGAAGATCCTTAGCTCCGGGCTTGGAAATGCTAGAAGGTTCTGGAGCCCCGTGGTTGATCCCTGCAAGACGGCCACCCTGAACCTGGACGCCAGGACACTTCCCCCCCTTGCGGCGACACTAAGTATTTAACATTTTAAAACCAAACCCCTCGTTACCAGTGGGAGCAGATGAGCCAGGAGTTGGGGGTGCTGCCCGCCCTCAGCTGTCCCTGCTGTGCTCTTCAGCCCCCCCACTCTAGGGAGGTGGTCACTGAGGCACCAGCAGGGCGGAGCCCAGAGTCTGTGCTGGCCCCACGGTCCCTCTCCCTCGGTGTCCTCACGTTCCCCTCGCACCCCGGGGTCAGCCCCAGATGGTCACAGAAGCAGCAGGGTAGTCTGCAAGGAAGACGCAGACGGCAACTTCTCCTAACTGCCGCGGGGATCTGTGCTGCTGTTCAGCCTGAGCACACAGGCTCGGAGCGCAAGTCTTTCTGTCACGGGTTACCTCCAAGAAATGGCAAATAAACGTCTGACAGTTTATCCTCCAGTCCGTTTTCCTGGGAGCGTCAGGCCCTGTTGTCGAGAATGACGCCTCACTTAATACACTGTTTTTGTAAAGCTGTGGTTTTTTTAGATTTGGTCCCTGTGAAGCGTGCCAAGGCCTCAGGCAGGTGTTTGCCGGTCGGGGTCAGTGTGTGCAGCCGGCGCCTTGCTCCCGCCCTCTGTTCTTAAGTGGCCACCTGCATCGGTGAGATCACATGGTCGGGTTTTGTTGTTTGAACGGTGAGATGCAGAAACCTGCTGTGTGTGAGTGACAACCCTGCAGGACATGCCGTCCCAGCCCCTGCTCCAACCTCGGCGACCCCCACCCAGCACCAGCCGGGCGGGGGCTAGAGTTTCTGTCCTAGTCGCTAGTTCCGCGCCAGGCATACGTGCACGGGAGCCTGGGCCCAGCACACTGCGTTATGCCAAGAGACAACTGTGGCGAAGCTTACACCAGTTTTTCTAAGGAGTTTTGGTTATCCGTTGAAGACGATACCAAAGCGTGAGCAGCTCTGTGTGAAGGCCCAAAGCCGGCCTCCCGCGCGCAGGGGACTCCCCTCTGGGTGGGACGCTTCACTTAGAGGCGAGTGTGCCAGGCAGACCTCCGGGAGCCTCCCCTGGCCTCTGTCCTGGCAGCACAGCCGGTGGGTGTGGGACTCTCCCGTCTCTCCCGGTCACACCTCTGGCTCGGCGGGAGGCTCAGCGTCCCCACAGGTCGAAAACGGTGTGAAGTTCCGCTTCTGCAGAGGCGCCTGCCCGCGCTCCGGAGCCCTCTGGCCTTTGGCCGCCCGCGTGCAGGCCCGCCTGGCGCAGGCCCCTCAGCCCCCGGCGACGCCCGTGCCGGCCCAGTGGGCCCGGCGCCCTGGCTGCCTGTCGGGAACACGCGTCCTGATCTTCCACCCACCAGACTCCTGCGGGCTGCAGTTAGCCGTCCTCGTCTCCCGTCCCGCTGCTGACCTTCACCTTCTCTTCCAAGGTCATGTGCGCGCCCTCCCCGCCGCCGTCCTCGGTGCTTCATTAACTGCTCTGCGGCGACAGGGTCCTCCGAGGACGGCGCGGAGGCGGGCAGAGCCCGCTATGGCTGGCCGAGACGGCTGACACCGACGCGGAGCCCTGCGGCGCGGCCCGGGCGGGACCAGCTGGCTGTGAGCGTCCGCGCCTCATGTGACGAGTTACTCGGCTGCTTCATCGCAACGCGATCTGGGGGGGGCTCTTGGCCGGCAAGCGTGAAGCTGAGTCACGTCCCTCAGGGACGAGCTTTGGACCGAGACGCAGACCATTTACTGGAAGCGCAGAGGCGCTTATCAGGCAGGAAAGCCCTTCCAGAAGCCAGAAGCCAGGAGAGGACGGATGGGCCCGCCGGAGAGGTGAGAGCAACGTTCTCTCCTCTCCTCACGGCCGGCGGTGGGGGCCGATGCCCAGAGCTTGAGTACGGGGCTACTTGGGGGTCTCCTGGGCAGGAATGCTGTGGAGCGGGCGGCGGGGGACCCCGGGGTGAGCGCCGGGGCGCGGGTGGAGACAGACGCGGGTGCAGGGGGGCAGCTGGTGGAGGAGAGTACAAGCTGCAAAATCTACAAACCAGAAGAGCCGGCAGGTTGGGTGTGTTTTCCAAAAACAGAGTTGGTGTTAGTGCTGGCGTTTTCTCCTCCTGCTGGTGGGTCAACACAGGTCTCCTGCCGGCAGCGGGCACGCGGCTGTCTCGCCTCGCAGGGGCCGCGCTGGCTCTGCAGCCAGCCTGCCTTGCGGCTTCCAGAATGAGGACGATGGCATCTGGAGTCTAGGCCGTGATGCCCGAGTCCCTCCGGGCGGCCTGTTCCTGTCTAGCACACAGGGGCACAAGGTGATCACGAAGGGCTACGCCCTGTGAATTACGGAAATGCCCCTGGGCAAGTGAGACGTGAGACCTGCCGAGATTGTGAGATCCCACTATGAGACCAGTGCGAGCTCGCCTGCCGGTGATTTTTCTTCTCGTTTTTCTTTTCTTATAAATGGATGCTCGTGACTCTTTGGACATTTTCCCCCCAGCGCCATCTGTTACACCCCTGTTGACCCTTCTCCCTTCCCCTCCCTCTTAGCCTCGCAGACCTGACTCCTGCAGGCATTCACATTGTTGGGGGAGTCTGTACTGGGCACCTGTGCCAACTCTCACCGATTTCTTAGGTGAGTAAATGCAAAGCAGCTGTGCTATGGGAGCAGCAGCAACCCCTTTCCATCGAGGACATAGAAGTGGCCCCGCCGAAGGCCGAGGAAGTCTGCATGAAGGTAAGAGCGCGCGGGACGTGCGCCTGGGAAGCCACCTCACCTGCAGCCGCGAGGCTGGGGTCCTCCCTAGGGACATGTCTCCCAAAGTTTGGATGTTGAGTCTCTTACTGGTTCTTCTTTACCGCCAGGCCTCTGGCCATGCTGGATACGAAGGTCAGGATACCGTTGTCCGTTAAAAATCCACACTGCTGACCTGTTGTGTGAAAACTTTCATTTGTTGAATTCCTGTTGACACTGTTTTTTATTTTATTTAAAGAATCAGTCCGTGTGACTAATGGCTTCTCTGGAAGCCCTCTGGGAGTCAGACAGTGTTGATGTTACTCTTCGTGTGCTTTTGTGCCTGGACAGCCTCCTGGGGAGCAACCTGATCCTTTGGACAGTGGTGGTTTGGACACCGGGTTGCCAACCAGGCGTGGCTGCCCATCTCTCCTTGCCCTTCCCTGGGCCCCTGAGCTCCACTCGCCTGCTCAGAGAGGCCTGGGAGGCCTCACTGTGCCGGCCGTGGCAGCAACGGCTCCGGGACCCTGCAAGGGCCCAGTGATTCCAGAAAAGCCTGAGGCAGAGGCGGCTGATGCAGGGCTCAGAACCCGAGTCCGCCCTATTTTGAGGCAACTGTGCTGAATAAGCTATTGTAGTCCCCTCACCCGTGATTTCAGTGCCCTCCCAGCCGTGCAGCAGCCTTCCTGCTGGGTGGTGCAATGGTTTTGTCTTTGAACACAGATTTTGGCCACAGGAATCTGCTGCACAGATGACCACGTGATCCGAGGAGCAGCGGTGTCCAAGTTTCCAGTGATCTTGGGACACCAGGCGGCAGGGGTCGTGGAGGATACTGGTGAAGGGGTCACCACAGTGAAGCCAGGTGGGTGGTGCCAGGCACAGGTCTGACAGGTGGGACAGGATTCTCTGTCTGGACAGTGTGACCAGAGACTGGAGGGGGCCTCACACAATGTAGGACAGAAGGATACAAGGACAATGGGTTGTGCAAAGTCAAGTTTGATTTTTCAAAACCTCAGGCTGCAGTGAGCAACACTTCGGTGCTGATAGCCAGAACACCTCTGAGGCTACTTGCTGTGACGGGCTCCGCCCACCCTCACTTCGTCACGTTTTCAAAATTTTATTTTATTTTATTTTATATATATATTTTACTTCGTTACGCCTTTTTGTGCAGTGTGTGCTTTCTCCTCTCAGGTGTAGGCCCCGTCGAATTCCCACCCCCACGGCCCGGCACCATCACCATCACTCCCGCCTCGGTTTTGATCCTCTCCCTCCCCCTCCCCTGCAGTGTCTCTGATTAATAGTTGCCTGTTCATTTTGGTTTTTACTTTATTATAATTATTCTTTTCCTGGTCCTTATTTGGGTCCCCTGTATTCCTCCTATAAGTGAAACCATCCATATTTTTCTTTTGCCTTCTGATTTATTTCACCGAGCGTAATTCCTTCTAGCTCCATCCGTGTTGCTGCGAATGGCATGAGTTTCTCCTTTCTGATTGCTGAGTAATGTTCCGTGGTGTATGTCTGCCACATCTTCTTGATCCAGTCCTCTATTTTGGGGCGCTTGCATTGTTTCCAGGTTTTACCTATTATAAATGGTGCTGCAATAAACGTAAGGGTGCAGGTGTCCTTTTGAATTAGTGTATTCGTGTCCTTTGGGTAGATCCCTAGGAGTGGAATTGTTGGGTCATATGGAAGCTCCATTTCTAGTAGTCTGAGGGACCCCCACACAGCTCTCCATAGAGGTTGCACCAGTTTGCACTCCCACCAGCAGCGTAAGAGGGTTCCTTTTCCTCCACATCCTCGCCAGCATTTGTTGTTTCCTGTTTTCCTGTGTGGTTTTTTTTTTTAAATACGTGCCATTCTCGCTGGTGTAAGGTGGTCTCTCGTTGTGGTTTTGATCTGCATTTCCCTGATGACAAGTGACAGTGAACATTTTTTCATATGCCTGTTGCTTCATCATGTAACGTTCCATCCTGTCACACCCCTCCAGGCGACAAGTCATCCCTCTCTTCCTGCCTCAGTGCCGAGAATGCAGCGCCTGCCGCCACCCGAGGGCAACCCGTGCGTCAGGAGCGAGTAGGTCCCGTCACCTGCCCGCCCCTGCCCTTCAGCTGTCCCTGGGTTGACTCTGAGTTGGGTTAACACGCGCCTCTGCTGTGTCCCCAGCCTCACGGGCCGCGGGGTGCTGGCCGACGGTACCAGCAGGTTCACGTGCAGGGGCCAGGCCGTGCGCCACTTCGTGAGCACGAGCACTTTCACCGAGAACACCGTGGTGGATGAGGCATCCGTGGCCAAGATCGACGCTGCGGCGCCTCCCGAGAAGGTCTGTCTACTTGGCTGTGCGTTTTCCACGGGCCGCGGAGCTGCCGTCAAAGTTGGCAAGGTAAGGGGCGAGGTGGATGGCCCGGGCAGGCGCCTACATTGTCTTCTTAAATGATTTTCTTGGATTCCTGAGGATCTGTGAAGTCAACAGTGTTTTTGAAAACATAGAGTGGCTCCTTCTACTTGATGCCAAAGCAGCTGGAGGAAAATCTTTTAATTCGGAGTGGAAATGTTGTTTTTAAATAAGTAGAAATAAAATTTCTACTTAGGTTTAACTTTTATTTCCTCCACCTTTCCTTCAGGTGTAATTGTCAACATTTGAATTTGCCTCTAAAGTGAATCTTTTTTCTCTCGCAAAGACTGAGGCTGATACGGTAGCTTGCGGGGCGTGACTGTTCTTTGGCAGCGTGTCGGGGCCTCCGGCCATCAGTGCGTCTTCAGTCTTCAGCAGCCGTGCGCTCCGGGAGGTCTGCACACACGCTCCTTGCTCTTGGCGGTGCTCAGCCAGGAGTGGGGGGCCATGGCCTCATAAATGGCAGTAGGGAAAGCGGAAATGTATGAGTGACTAGAGGGAGAGAAGATCTAAATATGTGGCAGGATAAAAAGTGGGGGGTGTTTGTGAAAAATAGGCATCTGGGCGTTGAGATGAACTTCTCTCAGCGGTGGGGCCAGGCGCAGCCTGAGCCGTGCACGTGTGACACCGGCACACTCACCCAGGCTTCTAGAGGCTTCTGGGGGGCTCTGGAGAATCTTGAGATGAAGCGTTCCTTCCCAGGGTCTCCCTGAGACTTCCCACGAAGAATATTCTATCAAGACAGAAGGGAAAGAAGAGACAGTAGATGTGGTTTATGTTCATGTTCTTCACTGTACTGGACGTGTCGGCCCTTGCTGGTTCCGGGAGGGCTCCCTGCTGACCACGGCATCCTCCACTCAGGTCTTTTTCCCGGGGGCTCTATTTTAAGGCAAATCAATGTGAGAATGTGTCCGGGCCGCCGCCCCCCCTTGGACTCAGCGATGCTGGCAGCAGTCATAGAAATCAGGAGAATTACTGTGGTCGTGGTGGTTTATACCAGAACAAGGACGCAGACTAAAGCCAGCACAGAAAGCGGCCCGCGGGGTGAAGCCTGAGAGACCAGCCTCGGCTTCCGGGTGTGCCCCCCGGCACCACGGGGACGGCTCCCCCTCGCCAACCACAGTGCGAGATGACACATGAGGAAGGCGCAGGGAGGCCGCGCCCGCACCCAGGTCTCTGCGGGGAGCCACAGGCGTGGCGGCCCCACCACCAGACGCGCGGCCTCTGCCCGGAGCCCCAGTGTCACAGAGGATGGCAGCGTGAGCGTCGGCGCCGGCACAGGCCCCGGTCTCAGGCCTCCAGACCCCCACTTCAGACAGCACACTCATGGCCTCACATTATTCCCCAGGAGCCGCCTAAGCGCCGGGCCTGAAGACCGTGGGAGCAGGGAAGCCTGGGTTCTTCCTAGAGAGCCCCACAGGGAACCACGGATAATGTACTCCGCATCCGGGCCTCCTGCTCCCACGGCTTAGATCAGGAGCACTGCGGGGAGGGGGACGTAGATGGCTTTTGCTTTGTTTTGGTTTGTCTTGTTTAGTTTTAGGGTAAAAATAACATCTAGGTGAGCAGATACTGGATCCACTGACTCAGGCAGGGCGACGGGAGGTCCATAAACTGCCCCTTTCCAGAGAGTGGCTGAGATGGTGGCGGGAGGGGGGAGGCCTCGATGGTTAGAGAGCCACACCATGTCCTCAAGGGTCTGAGATCTGGTGAGGGGGCTCCACACCAGGGCTTGGTCCTGAGCTGCACCCAAGTCCAGTGCCTGACACTCAGCCCCCCACAAAACATTCCTCTCAGATCTGAGCAGTGAAGCTGGCAACGAAACCGGAAGGAAGGGCACAGAGCTCCGGCTTTGTTTCTGGTGCAAAGAGCTGACCATCAGGGATTTGCTGAGCCGGTGACCAGTGGCCACATGGCGCCTGGGAGGGCGACAGCACTGACCTCAGATCCAGGGTGACCCGAGGGCCTCCGTGGCCGGCGTGTAGGAGCCATGGAGAGGGCCCGGGCGCCTGCTGTTCTCTGCGACTCTCCCTCACCCGTGCGGACGTTTCAGACACAAACACACTCGCGCACAGGCTGCTTCTCCACGTAATTGCCAGAAAGGAGGACAAGGCCCGAAAGCCAAGAGGTCAGAAAGCAGGCCCTGCTGTCCCACAGCCTGCGCGTGAAAAAAGAAAGAAAATAAACGTGGGGCTGGGCCTGTATGGCGTCGCTGCCAGGCGTGGGGCAGGGCCGGGGCTCCCCAGCGGGAAGGCGCCTTCCCCCAGGCCGCAGCAGGGGGGGCAGGGGCAGGACCCACGGTGATTCCAGCGCGCGTCCCCCAGCACGCACGAGCCATGTCATCCAACTTCGATGACAACACAACATGCCTGCAAATGAGATCTGGTTCGTGGGAAAATGCTCATCAGAGCAAACCCCAGAGACGGGCAGGGCCTCCCGGAGCCGGCTGAGCGCTCGTCCACCTGCGGGGGGATGGGCCAGGTGGGGGCGGCCAGAGGCGGCGGAGCCTCCACCAGAGACCGAGTGATGGGACCGCTACAGAGCTTTTGTTCCTCTCTGTCCGCAGATGTTTTCCTGCCCTGCGCTCTGTCGTCGTCCTGGGAACGCCGTACGGCTCTCGTGTCTGCACAGTGTCCCTCCGACCTTGTGTTTGCAACCACGGAGAGACTTGGGGGCCCTGTGCGGCCCCTCCGCCAGCACTAACAGGGCCTTCCCTCTGCAGGTGACCCCCGGCTCCACCTGTGCCGTCTTCGGCCTGGGAGGCTTGGGCCTCTTGGTCGTCATGGGGTGCAAGTTGGCCGGCGCAGCCAGGATCATCGGGGTCGACCTCAACAAAGGCAAGTTTGAGAAGGCCCTGGCTGTGGGGGCCACTGAGTGCCTCAGCCCCCGGGGCTCGGCCAAGCCCGTGAGCGAGGTGCTGGCGGAGATGACAGGCAACACTGTGACCCACAGCTTCGAGGTCATCGGGTGTCTTGAGACCATGGTGAGGGTCGATATGGGGGTGACGGCGCCCTGCCCTGTGACAGCGCCAGGCTTACTCCCCTCCTGTGGGAGCGCCTGTCAGGCAGGCTGGAGCGTGCTGCCCTCCCCATGCGAGTGGGGCAGACGGGGGCCAGCTCCCCGCAGTCTCTGTGTGACCCTCCTGTCTGCTGGCTTTCCTGGCCGAGGTCACAGTCTCTTGCCCCTGAGCACAGTGACTCCAGGAGCGGGACAGGCTGGGCCTCGGGGAAGGGGCTGTTTCAGAGTAACGGGTCTAGTCCCCAGATCCACTCTGTCAACTCTTTACTCCGTAGCCCTGGGCTGGGCGTTCCTTTGTCTGAATTCCCTTAACCCAGCTCCTCGGACCTTCCAGACTGCGTCTTCACCCTGCGGCCAGCGGACACCTCTCTCCAGAGCTGTGAACGGGCTGAGCTAGAGCAGAGGCGCGGCCTGGCGTCCGTGAGGACACTCGGAAAGAGCCACGCCTCCTCACATTGGGCAGTGTGGTCACTGCTGCCGAGTGGGGTTAGCAGGGAGCACCCCTTCCCAGCCATGGTCACCGAGCCCTCTCCCTGTGCCCCCAAGAGTCACCCCAGAGCAGCGGGTTGTGCTGGAGGCCCCATTTTGCAGAGCCAGCGTGTGACCCGCACACCCTGCCAGTTTCTTGCTCTCCAGACGGCACGTCGGTGACACTGGTCTCTGGAAAGTGCATCACTGCTGGCCACAGTCGGGGCAGTATTCCAAGACGAAAGTAGCTCACCAGAAATTGGGGGGGGGGGTGTCAGGAAACAGGACTGAGTCTCGGCGACGCCCGCAAGAAATGGGAGTCCTTTGTCAACCATTGTACTACTGCATTTTCTTTCTTTCTTTTTTTTTTTTTAAGATTTTATTTATTTATTTATTTATTTATTATTTATACAAGCACGGGGCACAGTCAGACGCGCGGGAGGGTGAGAGAATTCACCAGAGCCAGAGTGGGGAGCAGAGCAGGCAGAAGGACCGAAGGACACTGCTGAGGGGAGCAGCGGGCGGCAGGAGAGGTCTGCGCGCCATGCGGGATCCCTTGCCCGGTGGCCGGGGATTGAACCGGCGCTGCAGAGGCTGCAGCAGCTTTGCAACCCAGCGCTCAACCGCTGCGCCACCGGGGAGGCCCTGTACTACTGCATTTTCTTACTAAACTTACTAAACCGGTTTAATTGCTTTAGTTCGGGGAACTCAATTTAGTTCTGCTCAGACAGTACTGGCTTGAAAATACCACAGGATTTCTCCACGGAGCGGGCCATGGCCGTGGCTGTCCATGGGCGGGAGCGTGGCAACTCCCACCTCCCGCTCCAGGGCGGACGCACGTGGCTTTAGCGACGGCCTGAGGTCCTGCTGGGAGTTTGTAAGGCAAGAGCAAGCAGCTTGTGGGCTGACTTGCCTTTCCGATGTGGGAACTGGAGCAGCCGGTGGAGCTGTGAGGGCACGCGGTGCTCTGAATCCCGGAGTCGTGAGGAGACGGGACAGCTCGGTGTCTGCTTCCTGCCCCCAGGTGGACGCGCTGGCCTCCTGCCACATGAGCTTCGGGACCAGCGTGAGGGTGGGCGTCCCGCCCGCCCTGCAGAAACTCACCTGCGACCCCATGCTGCTCTTCACCGGCCGCACCTGGAAGGGGCGCGTGTTTGCAGGTGAGGAGCACGGGCGGTGGGCAGGGGCTTCAGCGCCCGGCCCTGCCAGGAAGGGGAGCCGCGGGCCCCCGCCTCCCCCAAGGTCTTCCTTCCAGGCGGCTGTGGGGCCGGCAGGGCCGTCCCCATCCTCGCTCGCCCCCAGCTCGCTCCCGGTCTTTCGCCCCAGTGGCCATCTCGGCACATGCTCTGGGTGCTCTGACGAGGGTCCGGGCCCGCCTGACCGCCTGTCCCACCACCCCCTTCTTTGTCCTCGGACGTCCCCACAGAGCAGCTGGCGCAGCCCCTCGGACGCAGCCAAAGCAGGCCTGTGGCTCCTTTCTCAGTCAGAATAACCCCAAACGTGCAGTGGCCAAAAGGCCCCCGTGGTCGGCCCCGCCCCGCAGCCACGACTCCACCCTCCCCGCGTGGGCCGCCCGCACCCCTGCTGCCCGCGCCCTCCCCGCAACATTCTCTCCCTGGGGTTCCGGATGAGTCGCTTCCCTGTGTCTGGGCTCAGGTGTTACTTCCCAGGCAGGCTGTCCTCGCCGTGTAGCCAGGACCCCTGCCAGCCCTGCTGCCCTGGGCCTGGGCCTGACGCTGCTCACTTGCTCCCGGTGCTCCTGCCTGGCTGTCACCCTCTGCATTTACTGGCCTGGTTTTTGTCGCCTCCTCGCTGAAGTGAGGCTCCTCGTGCTCCCGAGCTCGGCCGTGGGGACTGGTCTGTTCTCAGCACGGGGGCTGCCTGGCGGGGCACGCGGGCTCTGCCACGGCATCCAGACGGGACTTGCAGACTCCCTCATGCCCCGCCCTCCCTGTCACAGCGCAGGCTGAGGAGGCCCAGCTCATGCCCTGTCCTGCGTCCCTGTGGAGGAGTCTGTTTGCCCGGCAGCTCCCAGGCCACGCCGGGGTGGAGGGAGCAGTGGCGTGGCCCTGTGTGCTGTCAGGCCAGGGTACCCTCACTGCGCTGGCCGCGGGCGCTGAGTGCCCTAGCGTTGGGGACGCACACTGAGACCTTTCTTTCTCTACCGGGGGCAGAGAGGCGGCAGCTCTGTGGAGGAAGGTCTCTGGGTGTTTTTGCCTTTCTTGCCCAAGATAGGAGAACCGCACTGGTGTGCGCACTGGTGAGGACAGGCCTGTGTGGGGAAGGCAGGATCGCGGGGAAGAGGAACAAACGCAAGACACAGGCTAAGGAGCAGCGTCTCTGTGCAGGCTGGCAGAGCAGAGATGATGTCCCGAAGCTCGTGACTGACTTCCTGGCCAAGAAGTTTGATCTGGACCCGCTGATCACCCACGTCCTGCCTTTCAAGGACATCAACAAGGGCTTTGAGCTGCTCCACTCAGGACAAAGGTACTGTTCTCGATGGCAATCTGGCCGCTTCCCCAAAGCAGCTCTAAGCAGTCTTGATAAATGCGCCTGTTCTGTCAGGTTTCATTTCTGCTTATTTGCAATAGCAAGCCCGAGAGCCGGGGACTTCCTCGTAGACTTCGTGTGGCGCCATTCTACACTAACCCGTTTTCAGAGCCCTCGGGACTTTGTCGTCTTAGACGGCACTGGCTATTTGTGGTGCATCGGTGCCGCGGACCAGCACAGCAGGAGACGATGAGGCCGTCTCAGGGTTGAGAGAAGCGTGCAGGGTGGTCAGGGAGTCGGCGAAAGAAATAACAGACAGACACACTTCAAGAGAGAGTGTAAATCTGAGTGTAATTTTCTTTGAGTGGGTGACCAGTACATATATGTTTTCTAAAAGCACAGGAACAGTGAATATCAACGGAATCCGCTTGCTCATGGGTTTAGCTTATCACTGACAGGGCAGTGATTTACATCTGGACCCAGCCGCGTTCCTAAGTAGATAGACCATTAGTTTTGTTTTTCAACTATATAATCGCATTTTTTGTTTTACTAACTACTTTTTTACCTAAACTATATTTTAATTATTACAGGGTTTAGTAATGTTTCATTGGAGTCAGCCTTGATTTTTTAATTAACAACCAATGACCTTTATAGAAGAAAGAAGGAAGTTTACAAAACAATAAGGGAATAAAGTTTGTAGTTCTAGAAAGGCGAGATAAGGTTTTTGTAGTAGCATTCTTGTAGTGGTTCCTGGTGGTCCTTATCTTTTGATAAGCACCTGTCTTATCTGTGTTTTCAGGGAACTTTGCTGTACTCCCCTGTGCGCTGGTTCCTTGCCCAGCTGGACCTAGGGACCGTGGCGAAAGCCATTAGCCCTAAAGGTCACTGCAGGGGGAGGTGCAGCACATCGGAAAGCTGCCATCTTTCTCAAGTCACGCCACGGCGTTTCTTTAGGGTTTCAAAGTACTTTAGATGCGCTGTCTTCTCACCCTAGGGGGTCAAGTATTATTATTTGTTACTGTTGTTACCACCATCTTCAGTGAAAGAAAGTCAGGTAGTGAGAAGCAAGTCAGTTACCTGCCAGGGCTCTCTGGCAGCGCAGGGCACAGCCTCAGGGCCACACCGCAGCCCTGCTCCCCACGCCCACCCAGCCCGCGGCCAAGCTTTGGAGAGCACGGCCGAGCATCCTTGCTGGTGCCTCTGAGGGTGAGCAAGCATGGGGGTGGGACACAGAGTCGGCTCAGATTTCATGCAGTCTGAAACAACCCTCCCGAGAGCGTGTCTACAAGACGAAGTGGAATTTCACTCAGTGAATCTATAAAACCCGTTGCGCGGCCGCCCTGTGGGCCCCGGACTTGGGTTTCATTAGCCGAAACCACCATCCAGCCATCAGATCCAGGCTCCAACCGTTTTCCCTCAGGCAATAAAAGGAGTTTGAAGAGAAGGAAAGTAGTTTAATTTGTGGAGAAACTGAGGAGGGCAGCAGACTCGTGTGTAAAAGACCCGGCCCTGCCCTTTGGCAGGGGGCAGGGGTGTGTATACAAAGGAGTCAAACAAGAGGGAGGCAGGCGAGGGTTGGCACATCCTTTTGATGCAGGCATACGGGGTTCGGGCGGGCACCAGCTTGCCTTGTCCACACCTGCTGTTTAACTCCCTGTCGTCCTCTTAGGGACGTCCTTCCTTCTCCTTAGACGGCAAGAGGACAAACTTGGGAAATGCAAGACAGAGGAGTGCTTATCTGGTGGGGCCGGCAGGGAGACCTGACCTGATCCACTGCATCCATCTCCACTACCAGGCATGACCTTCCGTTTCCATGGTAGCCAGGGGTGCCACACCTTCTGGCTGCTTCCTGCTGAATGGGGTTGTCTTGGGAGGGGGGGCTACTATGGACAGCCTGCACTGGCGGGTGCCGCAGTTCCCCGCCTGCTGTCACGGCCTTGGCGGCGGTGTGGCAGCAGTGAGGTGTGCAACAGATCGTAGCCCAAAATATAACAGGGATAACTTTCTCCTTCCTCAAGAAGATGACGTGTAGGGTACAGCCCTCACCGAAGAGGACCAGAGACTAATATGAAAAGTTACTGAGACACAGGTTTTCTCTAGCTCATTCCAGTTCTGTAAAATAGTAAACCAAATCTAATTTTAAACCATTTTACCTACATTTGCGTCAACCCATAGGGCCGAATAATCAAGCAGAATGTTGTTGGCTTTGTTGAAAACTCTCTCGGGCCTGGAGTGAGCTTTTAACGCCCAGTCCGTGCGGGCTTCAGAATCAAGGTCACAGTCTTACCAGACAGCACCTGCGATTTCCACTTCTCAAAGCTTCCAGGGTTTTCCCAGCCCTGCCAATGGGGACAAGCTTCCTCCCCTTCTATGGAGGCCTTTGGAACCCGGTAAGCAGGGTGACAGGCTCTGCTTGGCTCAGATCTTCTTAGCTCAGCTCAAATTCTACTCCCAGAAGAATTTCAATCAAAGCCTTGTAACAAAACGTGTTTTTAATTTTCTAGTTTAAGGAGAAATAAATAAAATTCCCTATGGAGGTTATGCAAAGATAGACATGTTGTCTTGAGAATTACAAATATTGCCTACCTACACGTTTTTTGAGATGAGAAAAGAGAAAAACAAATGTTCTAGTTTGTACATAAAAAGATGCAAATTGCCACAGCTAAGATCACAGCCCAGTGTAAAGACAAGCTTTCTAGAGATAAAAAATCAAAACATTAAAAGCCAATATTTTTTAAAAGTTATTAAGCATTATACAAATCCTCCTCAGTGTACTTTGTCCCATATATTAAGTCTTGATCTTCTGTGGGTAATTGTCATAAATCTAATTTTTCAGTAGGCTCGGTAGTTCTTCAAAGCTCCAAAACCTACCTATACTGTCAGTCACTCTTTGTGATTTTTTTTTTAAGACAAAGCTCAGCAAGTAACCCTTAGAAACAACAAAAACTTAAAAACTCTGCCTCCTGGAGGGAAGCATGCTAGAGCAGCCCTGCCAGTGTCTCGCCCAACATCAGGGGCCCCGTGGCTTACGGCAGTGACACCCTGATGCGGGCATTCATTATTTGTGGCCTGTATAGGAGACAGCTGGTGGTCACTCTCCTCTGGGGGGAGTTTATCTACGTCATGTGCAAAGATGTAACTGGTCTCAAACGGGGCACCTTCCCAGGGGGCATCATTGAGCGCTGCAGGGCCAGGCCCTGCATGTTGACCTCGTTTACGCAGATGGCTCTCCTCACAGTGCTCAGGGGACAGCAGTGACCGACCTCAATGTCTCCTGGGGATCCCCTCGCAGTGCATGTTCTGACCCAGTGGGCTGCCCAGACCCCTGTGTTCCTCAAGGCCCAAAGATGAATCCAAAAAAGCCCCCCATTTTTCAACACTCAGCCCTTCCTGGACCGGGTCCTCCTCCTGCTCCCCATCCAGAGCAGCCCGTCACGGGGATATATTCTCACTGCCCTGACTTCGGGAGCACCATGTTCTGCCCAGCGAGGCGCCTCTGCCCTGGAGCCGGAAGAGACCAGGTTCCTGCCAGGATGAACTCCACTCCAGACCCCAGCGGGGCTCTCGGGCGGGGCCGCAGGTCACCAGCAGCGGCCACACCCAGCCAGCGGTCCTCTGCAGCGCGACATTTAGAAAACTGACACTGAAGTGGAGGCGGACAGTCCACGCCGTCTCCAAAACTCAGAGTTCACCTGAGAAATCCGAGACCAGTGCAGAAGGGTGAAGTGTCCCCGCAACCTAGGTGGGAATGTTTGTAGGATGTAAATTTTATTAAGTTTGTACCCAAGTCAATTTCTAAATTGCTAAAATATTTTGGGGTTTAGACTATAACAGCTGTTGTAATAATTGCTGGGTTCAAATTCCCCATGTGAAAACAAGGAGACACGGATGTACGAAGGACACAGATTGGAAAGGTGTCTGCAGCATATTAGCGACCGTCTTTCACTGACGGCTGGCACACATTCACTCCGCGGGAAACATTCTTTCCAAAAAGAATCCCCTCTTTACAAATGAGGTTTAAATATTGTTGGCATTCTTAGGAAAACTTCAATGCCTCTGGCTATTCCTGGAGGGTTTTTTCCTTCCTTTTTCTAGTTTGAATCCTAGCAACCAGTGAAGTTATGAGGCTTCAGGCCCTGTATGGTTTGCAAGCTTATCCAGAAGTAAGGCCACGGTGGAACCACCACAAAAGTATAAATGACTATTGTACATTTTTTTAAGATTTATTTATTTATGCATACAAGAACTGGGGTACAGGCCAGAGGTAGCGGGGGGGGGGGGTGGAATTCACCAGAGGCAGAGTGGGGAGCAGAACAGGGAGACAGCGGGGAGACAGGCGAGGTCTGCTGAGAGGAGCAGCGGGGAGACAGGCGAGGTCTGCTGCTCCATGTGGGTTGCTCCCTGGGCGTGAAGCGAACTCTTGCTGTGCTGCAGTAGCTGTGGATAGCTTCATAGTGCTGCGACTTAAGCCCTTGCACCACCAGGGAGGCCCCATAAGTCACCAGTATAAGTCACCCCATAATGCCACAATCTTTCCCGTTGCCTGTGGAGTCTCAGCTGAAATGAATCAGGATTGAAGCTCTAGCGTGAGATGAAAGTGAAAGCATCTTCTCTGCCGGGACACTGGATTTATACTGATGTGTGACAAGTTGATTTGGAACTCAGGAATTTCGTTCTATTCTGTTCTTGTTTTCTTTTTGTAAAGGCAATATAAGTAGTCACAGGAACTAAGTAGTCACAAAGGCAATTAAGGAGTCCCAGGAACTACCAGTCAGTTGTATAAAATGTTGTTTTATGCAACACGGGCTCCACAGGCATGTGTAACTTTCAGAGCTCTTGTGTTGGGAAGCTGGAAGAGGACCCGACTTTGAAGTAGTGTCTTGTTTTCACTTTTTCCTTAAACTACAGCTACATAAAGCTGTGGATTGAGTAGAACACAGTTCTAAAGTTAAAAATAGAAAATGGCAAAAAAATGCTTCTTTAAAACCGCGCAGGAGCCTAGGTGCAGACTGGAAGCCAGACCCTCTCACCCACCAAAGAACATGAGGACTTTGACATTCACTCCAGATGCCAGTGCTCCGCCCACACCTGCTCGCGGCCAGGAAGCCCAGACGGTCATCCTTGAATGCATTCCTCTAACCACCATGGCATTCTTAAGAGTTTTTAAAAATCATTTTTGCCGGTTACTTTTCGCCTGCCAAGGAGCAGAGAGATAATTGCAGCAATGTTTCTCATTAGCCTCGGTTGGCTGGGCCTGATAATGATAAGCAGTTGCGTACATTATAGAGAAATGGGAAAGCAGAATAAAATATAGAAACAACGGTGTATTATGTGTTTTCCATCAAAAGATGCTTTTACGAGTTGGCTCACTTTCCTCCTAGTATTTCTCCACTATTCTTAATTGTGAAATATCGCTCTTGTGCTTGAGAGTGGATGGTATGAATGTACAGTTGATACAGTTAACAAGTTTGTCTTTCCCCCATTTTTTGCAATTCCCCTTATCTAGCATTAACAGGATTGATGACTTGTCTTTCCCATTTGTTGCAGCTTCCCCTCCCCTTGGGAAGAAAAAAAAAAAAGCTGGCGCCACCGGTTTCCCTGTAGACCCTTCCCCCTCGCCCTAAGGAAAACAAGTTGGCGATCACCCGATCACCCGATCACCCGATCACCCGTCTCTGTGCCTTGACACCTTCCCCTTCCCTTAAGATGAAGGAGCTGACACCCATCCATCTCCCTGTTGAGCTGGCGCCCACTTGTCTCTGTGCGGACCCCTTCCCCCTCCCCTTCGCGGACCCCTACCCATCTCCCCCTGTATAAACACCCCTGCCCGCTGCCAAAGAGGAGGACGGTGGTTTTTCGGACGTGAGTCTGCCGCCCTCCTCATTTGTCGACAAATAAAACCGCTTTCCTTTTCCTCAAACTCAGTTTCCTTTTATTGGCTGAGGGAAACTGAGGCCGGCGGTGGGTAACACAGTTGCAGAATTACAAAATGAACTCCCACTAACCAGGTCAAGAAACATGACATCACAGCCTATGGCAACCTTCTCCCCCTCCCAAGTAAGCACCAAAGACTGTCATTGAAGTTATTTCCATTTGTCTGCATTATAATTCATCACTTAAGTACTTATCAGTAAATGTGTTAAGTAAAACACGATTTTAACTTTGTCCGGCATTTAATTTTATTTTTAAAGATTTATTTACACAAGCACTGGGTACAGTCAGAAGCGTGGGAGGGTGAGAGGATTCGCCAGAGCCAGAGCGGGGAGCAGAGCAGGCAGAAGGACCGAAGTACACTGCTGAGGGGAGCAGCGGGCGGCAGGAGAGGCTGCGCCCCACGCGGGACCCCCGCCTGCGGCCGGGACCGAACCCGCGCTGCAGGGGCTGCGGGCAGCTCCCCGCGCCGCGCCCCGGGGGGCCTGCAGCGTCGCGTCCTCGCGCGCCTGAGCTGGGTCGGTCCCCGCCCCGGGAGCCGGCTCCGGGCCTCGCCATCGCCTCCGTCCCGGAGAAGCTCCTTGCTCGGGCACGTCCCTGTCCGCGGGCTCCACAAGCAACCATTTCTGCAGCCACCCCCGAGGCCACAAGGCGGCGTTTTGCGTTTCCCCAGCGCGTGCTCGGCCCGCGAGGGCTGGGCCCACCGGTTCCGAGAGGCTTTCCGCGATGCCGCCCCGAGCCACCAGACGGCGCCCTCCGCTCCTCCCGACGCCCGGGTGCGCGGGGCCTCTCCTTCCTCCCGCCACTTCCGGCCCGCGGCTGAGCGGTCCGGTGTGTCCCGGGTTATTCCTCCGACACGCCCGCCT